GGTTTGTGAATTCTTTTTATATTTTACTGTTTACCTTCAGCTTTAAATACTGACTATGGTTTTTTATTAATATATGTAAATATATGTATATTGTCTGTTTGAACATTTATATTACTATCTAGTAAAATATTCCAGTAGCTTTTATTTTTTGTCGTGTGATCTCGTATTTATAAATATATATATATTACGTAGCAGGTTGTTGGTCCGAGGTAAACTTCTAAACTGTTGAATAGATTTTAGTAAAATTTAGCACATTGTGTCCAGTTTTATTCAACTTAAAAGATAGGATACTTTACATTTTAATTATGTTAAAAATCAAAACAATTTATAAAAAATATATTTCTGAACAAAAAAATGGGTTCAAAAATAAAAAAAAAATAAATCAATTTTAGGTTTAAATTTGGAAAATTCATTGTTTTTTAACTTGACAAATATTTGCATCGATTATTTTTAAAATTAAACCTCAAATACAATTCCTTCGATTCTGATTCCGACAATAACGTTTTCATCTTTATTCGTAAATAATATTTTAACTGTGTTATTGTATACTCTATTCACAGCCACGCATGGCTGAAACAACTAATTATTATTGACATTGGAAAGCACTTTTCTAATAGACGTTCCAATAAAATGTTTCGAGTTGTTTTTATTTGAAAATATATTTTCACGAAATTTTGCATAGGTTATTATCAAATTGTGCAGGCCGGAACCGATGTTAACGTTTTTTCTTGTTCTATTTTAGCTGGCCGTCTACAATTTGTTTGCCCTGTTATTTGTAACAATAAAAAACACAACCAGTGTGTTTTTAATACTTTCCGACTAATTCGAGCGGTATAGTACTAGTTCAACAATGGCCTGAGAATTACTTGCATGCACTTAACCTTAACTATAATTAATAAAACAAAAGGAAGTCGAGAAATCAAATACGAAAAAATAGGAGGCCAGTCCAAGCCGCCTCTTTTTAAAATCCAGGTATGTTTTTTTGTGCCTAAACTTAATGATCTAATTCGTTTAATTCGCAGGTTGATTTAGAATGTTTTCTCATTGGAATCAGTAATCTTGAGGACATTCATACTCATTTGAGAGCATTTATGATGGCTCAAATATTATTATTCCATCAACTGTTTGTTCGATAAAATGTAGTGCAATAATGGTTTGGACACAAAAGCCTACTGAAATTGTCGCTTTGCGGTCGCGCAAAGATGCATCATATATTTTTAGCATATTCTCCGTTTCCCAAATTGGCTTTTTTTTGCTTATTTACACCACCAGGCACGGAGAAATGATTTTGTCAAATGCATTTTGAGTTAATATGACTTTAACAAAGTAAGCTGTATCTATTTCTGGAATATATTTCGGTGTGAAGTGATCATAGTTAACCTTGCAAAAGAATAGTGAATGGCAGAAGTTAGTTTGCGAAATTTCAAACCAGCAGTCCTTGATATAAGAGAATAATAAAATAGAAAATTATCTAATAAATCTTTCCATCAGCTGCTTGGAGCTGTCTTGAACCTCTTTCATATAAATTCAAGGCGTATATTCCGCGGTTTATCTTTGGCTTGGAAAGTGACGCCGACAGTTGCATTTGACAATGAATGAAAATGAAAAACTGTTATATTTTCTCTTTAAGTCTTCTAGTAAACACCAAAAAACAAAAGTTACGAGAATGCGGTCTTGTAAAGACCTCATAAATGTGGTACATTTCTGCCACACTGTAGTTCTTTTCCCAGTACTAATAAAAAATGTGTTGCTCACTTACTTACTTTTTGCTTTCTAACACCGATGTTATGGACTATTGGATTCACATACACAAAACAGTCTAAAGAATAATGGATTCATGGCAATTCACTATAAATTTTGATAATTTTAAGTGTTTTACTTTGCTATAAAAGCGACTCTATACAACTGCGGCAAGCATTATAGCAAAATAAAAAGCACACATCTACTAAAATATGAAACATTTAAACAAAGTGTCGCATCAAAACTAACAAATCGGTCGAATTACGGCAGCTGTAAAACCTTGCACAATGTATCCTTCAAAAAGTGTGCACTAAATTCCGGTGGATATAAATTTCACTACACTTTTTGCATGCTTTCCTTTGTCTAATTCGCCGTTTCGTCGGAAACAAAACGCGCCAAATTCGCAACACTTGTAGTTGCTGTACAGTCTGGGCGTCCTTTGCAAAACGCTTTGTTTACGATTCGCACTCAACCGTTAGCGTCGATGCTTTATTACGGCACCTGAGCGCATTGTCGTTTTGTTGTCGCACATTCACCAAATTTGCGCAAAGTCGCTGAACAAATTTACGCAAGCACGACAACAGTAAGAGCGTAATTACAGAAAAGTTGCAATATTCAGCGAATTTGGTGTGACACAAATGTGTTAGAGTAGGGGCTTGTGTGTATGTGGGCTTGTGTATGTATTTGTTGTTGCTAATTTCGTTCACTTTCACCGACCAAAAGCAGGGCTTAGGGAGTTTTGTCGGGCAATTAAATGCTTGCTACCGTTGCATGCCACACCAGTTTGGTTGTTGCACACTTTTGGGCGCCGTAAAATACAAAATTCCATGAATTTGTGCAAATGCAATTAAAAAATCGTAAACTTTTGCAGCGCCATAACTGTGAGTAGTCACTGGTCGAGCGCCTGTAGGTATGCAATGCATTTGTCGCTTATGCTTGTGTGTGTTTGTGAGCATATTATGAACATGGTGGCTTATTTATATTTCGATAAGGAGTGCATTAGTGTGGTTTTATCGTAAAATATTAAACGCTCTTGGCATCGTTCTGCAGCACTGCCATAAGCTATATAGCTGTAACAGTTAAAAAATCCAATTAACTTTGTTGCCCAAAAATAGGCTATAAATCGTGTGAAAGGCTTAATATTATATGAGAAAGGTTGGGGCTACTTTTATAAGTGAGGAGAAATTATTTAACTTCTCCTTTTAATAACTTACAAACAGATAAACCTCCATTTTGAGGTTATAAAATTTTGGGCTTATAAATTATTCAGATTAGCTTAAATTTATTTTGATTAGAATAAATCTCGCCAGAAGAAGCTTTTAGTGCTGGGAATTTGTAGTATCAATATTTGTAGTTGAAAAACCAAGCTGAAAATGGTTGTAATGAGGGATTATCACTAATTTATTCAATTAACTAGTTGACTAAAAAAACACAAACTAATATTCTTAGGAATATCTATTTGTATGTTTGTAAGATAGAGCTTCACCACATAGATGTTTCTATACAAAATAATTTGGAACAAATATACGATGCTACATGAGAATGTCGTGAATGTAGTCAATGACAAACAAGAAGATATCTGACAAAACGATAATATCTTGGAGATAATTAACACCGAACTCATATTACATTCTATCCGTTAGGTCTAGATATGGCATGTGACTCTACTTGAAAATATTTGTTTATTTGTTCCTTCGGTTGGAGAACTGATTCCTTTGGAATATTACGTATTGTGGTAGAACAACAATCCTTGTTTTGAGAGCAATTCTCAACAACTTTCTGTGTTTTGCCCTGTAACGGACTGGATAATCTCTTCGCTGAAATTCTGTTCTCAAATGCTGACGAGAGATACTCATTGAACACTTTTAACGCTTCTTTGCTTACGAAGTCTTTTCCAGGGCCCTATAAAATAAAGAAAGCCCCTACAAAATACCGATTCCAGTGGAGAAATTAGCGGTATTTTCTGCAGTATACTACTACTACAAAGACTAGACTTGTTAGTTCTCAAGTTATCTTAACCAAGCTTTGTGAACATTTTAATATGAGTAAAAATTAAATTATTCGTCTACTAAGTACCGCAAATTCGAATAGAAAACGAAATGAATTTTTCATAATGCGAGGTTTCAGAATGTTCTTCATTCTATTTTCGTTAAGAATATTTACATCGTCTTGATTAACGTCAACTGGCTTTCAGCCTAAAGGATGAATTGAAAAAAGGAAAATAAAGAAAGTATGTCTCTCACCTTAACTGGTTCTCAGCCGAAAGGATGAATTGGAAAAAGGAAAATAAAGAAAGTATGTCTCTCACAGGTGCCTAAAAATGTACACACTATAAAATTTTCAATTTACAAAGTTACAGATTGTTCACAGCGTTTGAAGCTGCATGGGATAATAAGGACCTCCAAAAATCAGCGAAGAAAGTAAAGGCACACTTTATTACAACCAACTTGGCTTACTTTCCTGGGCGACTCTCAACTTAATCAAGTACAAATGCTGTTTATGCGCCGAAAAGTATGCTTCACGCTTTTCGGATAAAGTGCCCAATCATGCGCAGCCACCAGTAAGTAGCTTGATGGCAATGCTTTTGATTAGTGGCATGTGCTTTTATAAACATGCACTCATAAAGAGACACACTGGCATATACTACCACTCACACATACATATACGTATCTATTATATAATATATTCGTTAGCTCTTCGAGTGCTGATGGCGAATTAAGCGCGAATCTGTTCAGCTGCGTTGATTGAAGCCCGCGACCACAGCTGTGCGTCGTGCCTTCACGTAAGTGATTGGCAACCTATGCTCGTAAAATCAATTTAACAAATTTTGCTGAGAAATTGCGGCGTGGCGGCTCCAGCGCGGCGAAACGCTGTATGTTTTTGGCGCGCCCAAAGTTTGGACTAGCCGCTGTGCGAATATAGCTCTTTGCGAAACACAAATATTATATAGTTTCTGTCGCAAATGCTCACAGATTTCCAAGTATTCAATGATAGTTGAATCAATTTCGAGCAATTAAAAGTTTGCATCATATTCTCCCATTCCTGTTTGCTATTTTCAGCTAGTCTTTGCACACAACTCTTAGACACAAGAAAGCAGCAGCTGTGGAGCAAGTTTTTCCCAACAGTCGTGCAGTAAAGGATGATTACAACTAAGATCCTATTAATTGCGGTTGCTGTAGTTTACAGTTACTTTTTGCGAAGTTGATTTTGAAATTGGCATTAATGAAATCGATACTGCACAATTATCACATCAAACTTACCTTATTTCCAATGCGAACTTTGTTGATCTGCAAAAGAGGAATATTCTCATTAGATAATTTTAAAAGAATTCGTTTAGGGTTAAGCTCTTTTTAATTATCAATTCTAAGTCCAGTTTAAAAGAATAAGAGAGCTGGTTTAAGAGCTATTTAACTTTCAGTGCCTTGCTGTCTTTTTTAATACATAATCATATTTTTATCTTATACATAGTTACTGGTTAGTTCACTGATTTACTATTATATAAGCCACTAAGGCAATATATGATAAGCATAAAACCAAATTTAACGTCAAATTCTCAAATTAACCGATTACGAACTTCTTATAATATATGACAAAGCCTCAGGAATGAAAGAAGTAACTAAATATCTAGAGAAACAAACACTTAAGAAGACATGAGAAACAATATAGAAACATAACGTTCCCAAAACAAAAGGTGCCTAATACAGAAAATGTTATACGTTTATTCCAGTGATGTCTACTTATGCGGTTATATGAGTATTGCATACCATACAAGCAGAAAAATTCGTATCGTAGAAAAAAAAATAATATAGATTCCATCAAGAGTGATACATCAATTGCAATCTTCCATCCGTCCCATAACATTTTTGTACTAAAATATTTTATATTTGCCTCAACTGATCTTCTGCAAACATTCTCTTGAGCTCTTAGAAAAGTTACTGCAAAGCAAATATCTCCACCAATTTAATTTAGCTTCATCCAAAGTAAATTTGTGTATTTTTTAATTGTTTCACCTATACCAAAGTCTTCTATGGTACGTCCACTGTCATTTCCGGTGCTTATATGGCTTTTACAGAATTTAACATAGAAATATTTATAAAGACACGAATTTACTCTATATTCTGTTTACTTACAAATTTTAGGGAATTGTCGAACTAATTTTCTAATGACTGTGAAATATTTGAATTTAGGTTAGGTCTTACTACAAAACATATGCAATTAATTCTAACGTCGCCCTACTTTATATTATATATATATATATATATATATATGCGGTTATTAAAGAATGGTTTGAGTAGCCAATATTACGAAATTTATTGGAACTGTATTAGTATTTTTCCATTGTTAATTAAACATGTCCTTAGAGTCCTTATGTATAAGAGTTAAATCTTTTCTCACCAAGAAGCAGCTCATAGGTCGGAACCGCCGATATTGAGATTTTTGTAGATTGTATGCTAAAAAAGATGCACTTGTGCTTCGCTGCAACCGAAGTTAACTTATTTTCTTCTTTTTAATCATATCGCTACTTTATTCTTTTTTAATTGACAATCCTACATTCGTGACGCTAGGATCGAATCCAAAGAATTTGAAAATGAATACATTTAAGCAATTCCCAGCCACAAAACCTAACCTGATGCTAACGGTAAAAAAATGTATGTACGTTCGTTTTAGTAGCTGAAAAGTGAGAACCAAAAGAAAAAAGGTAAAAGTTAAACCAAGTTTTGTGGAAAATGAGCTTCATATATTACATTTTTCACATAAGCAAAACGGTATCTACCAGATAGAACGTAGCTACGTGCAGTCGTACATCAACACATACTTGCAACTTGCTGAAATGTTTGTATACAATAAAAATGAAGAGCATGAAAAGAGCAATTCAAAAATAAAATACTAATTTCATATTCCAATTGAATTCCATATACATTCATATGTAAGTGTTTGACTGACTGATTGTGGCAAACAGGAAGTGTGTGTTTCGGCATGATAAGCGCAAGGATAAAATAAATTTACAAAGGAAGCAACACTCACGAACAGCTCCAGTGGTGGCCACACTGGTTTGTCAAACTATGAATTCTGCTGTCATGCAAAGAATGTTTACGTCACTCATAAATGAGTGACAGTTACAAGACTGCTCTTTAGTCACTACCTTCTAATGCCTCCCCCACCAACCATTTTATCCTACTCTAACTGATAGACACTTTTTGATGGTTTTGATGATCACGCCCCGGTCGGTCTGTTACTTTACACTCAGCACTATCGTCCTCTTGTCATTCTGCGTGATAATTGCGTAGCAGTGTCCAGTATTCTTGCCTGAAGATGTATGTGTACGCACGCAAACTGCACTTGTCATTTTCAAGAAAAGTGTTGACGATTTACTAATAACTGTTTCTTTGTGTACAAGCGGGTTGAAAAATTATTTATGTGCCAGAAGAGAAAAAATTGGACAGTACTGTGATAAATGAGTTTGCCGACTAAAGATTAACATGTGTTTGTTGTTGTAGCAATTGGAAAAAAAATAATTAAAAAACACTTTTAACTTCGGCTGCACTGAAGCTATAATACCCTTCGCAGGTACATTTCTTATAGCAACTATATTTATAACTAAATCTGAAAACTTAATCGGCCAACGTTTTGGCAGCAATTGTGTAGCATTGTCTTTGACAATAATCGATGCCAAATTTCGTGAAGAAATAAAAAATAAATAAAAAAGTTTTCAATTTAAGAATTTGATTTTGATTGATCGGCTTATATGGCAACTATTTGCTATAGTGGTCCAATATCGGCGGTTCCGACAAGTGAGCAGGACGTGTGCAAAATTTCAGATCAGTAAACTGAGGGATTAGTTGGCGTATGTACTGACGTACAGGCAGACGGACATAGCTAAATCGACTCAGCTCGTCAAGCTTATCATTTATATATTGGGTGTATGCATTAATTCGTGCGGTTTTTTTACGAAAATTAAGACTTTATTGTGAAAAAATTGTTATACATTTAATGTTCAAAGTATTGCCCATCGGAAGCTATGATGTTTGCCCATCTTTCTGGCAGTTTGTGGATCCCATTCCAAAAGAACTTCTCCGGCTTGGAGGTCAAGAAAGAATCAATCCAATTTCTGATACCCTGTTCTGAAGAGAAGCGTACTCCGGAGAGGGCATTCTGCATTGATCTGAACAAGTGGTAATCGGAAGGTGCTATGTATGGGCTATAAGGCGGGTGAGGTAGAACTTCCCACCCACAGTTTTCCAAATAGTTTTTAACTGGCCTTGCAATATGTGGCCGAGCGTTGTCATGGTGAAAAATTATGTATTCGTGTCTGGTCGCATATTCTGGTCGTTTTTCCGCGATGGCCTTTTTCAAACGAATCAATTGTTTTCGGTAGAGGTCTCCATTGATCGTCTGACCCGATTTCAGTAGCTCATAATAGAGCACACCCTTGTGGTCCCACCAAATACAAAGCATAACCTTAGCAGCATGGATATTCGGCTTTGCCGTGGATGTTGATGGTTGGCCGGGCTTCACATATGATTTCTTGCGCTTTGGGTTATCATAATTAATCCATTTTTCATCGCCAGTGACAATCCGATGCAAAAACGACTTCTTTTGGTGGCGTTGAAGCAACATTTCCCACATGCAGAATCGACGTTCGACGACTCTTGGCTTTAATTCATAAGGCACCCAATTTCCAAGCTTCTGGATGAATCCTAATGATTTTAATCGTCTGGAATCGGTTGCTTGATCAACTCCTAATACTTTTGCAAGTTCTTCTTGCGTCTGGCATGCATCTGCGTCGAGCAATGTCTCCAATTCTTCGTCTTGAAGTTTGTTTGGCTGTCCGGGTCGTTCTCCGTCGTCTAAGTCGAAATTGCCACTTTTAAACCGTGCAAACCACTTTTGGCACGTTCGTTCGGCTAAAGCATGGTCACCATAAACGTCCAGTAAAATACGATGGCTTTCGGCAGCACTTTTCTTCATGTAAAAATAATGAAGAAGAACTTCCTCTGAATATAACCACAGATGAATACGACGCGAAATAATACTAGTAGAGTCCTCTCTTAGAAAACCGCACGAATTAATGCATACACCCAATATATTTATATATCTTATAGACTTTCCATCGTTTCTGGATGTTACAAACATTAAAAAAAAGTAAACTTGTCACTTGACACTTGTGTATATGTTACGTAGTATATTATTTGAATTTTCAAATCATGGGAGTAAACAACCGATTCTCGAGGAAAGCATTACGGCCAGTAATAGGTTTAGTACCGACCAGTCATGCTTTATAATCAAATGTGCCAATTAAGCATAATAATTAGAAATGAAAACTTGAATTCCCTCTTCTTTGCTCGCTAATTTTGAGTTCAGCTCTTTTTATACGAGCTTTTTATGTCTATTTTAATATTACAGTTCAATTCCGCACACTCCCAAGTCTGGCGATACGAAGGCCTAATTAAGAAATTACTAACTTATTTTCATTTATTCCAAATGTTCGGCTTCAGCGGCAACATGCCAAACTTCTAGCTTAAGCTAACTAATATCTTCTAACTGCATGTTTGAAATTTAAATTTTGCAAAAAAATATATTGAACATGTTAGAAATGTACACATATGCAAGTGCGCGAAACCGATATGTGTGTTGCATACCACCATTGAAGTAAAAAATGAGTAAACATTCAAGCATAATTGAACTCGGGCAACAGCTGTTTACACATAGTTATTGCGGTTATTCGCAAAACTGCTGTTCCTGAGCCATTGATGTTGTTGTTGATGTTGCTGTAGCTGTTGCTGTTGATGTTGATGTTGCTGATGCTTGTGTTGATGTTATTGCTGTGGTTTGCACAAGTTTGCCGCCACATTCATGTGTATGATTTACACATTCATATATGCGCCGCACTCATACAATGGCATGCTTGTTATGTAAGTTTGTGCGTTGGATATTACTGATTGCATGCCTCGCTGTCGATTTGTCTTGACCCTTTCGCCGAAAATGCCAAAAGCAGTCGGCGCTGCGGTTGGTTATTATCATCATATAAGCACTGAAATACACACACATTTACATATATTATTATTTATATACTTTCCACACATATCAACAGTTTCGTTTGACATACGACGTCATCGGAGTTTATGGTAGTCATAAATATTTAATGCATCCCTTGTGGCAGAACTTCTTTTGGCTTTGCCTCATTTAATATTTTGCTTCAAAGCAATTCATTTCCAAACATGCCTCGAACTCTTTTAACGCTGCTTTCACAGATGTATTAATATGAGATTTGTTTAAATTTTTCTTT